ATCCTATTTGCATACTGCAGTGAAGGTTAACTAGCCTGTCACAGATCTTTTATTTCTTTGATGGTTGTCGGGCTGCACCCCAGAGGCCTGCAAGCCCTGTGCTTGCCCAGCTTCAAGACTGAAGAAAGAGCCCAGAGTCAGCAACAGAGACATCAATGGTCTGATGGATGGGGGAGCTTACATGCGGGAAGCAAGGTCCTGGAGCGACACCCCACTGTATGGGGTGGATGGACGGCAGGGCAGGAAGTAGCTGCAGGCTTCACTCTGGGGAGGACTAGGGAGGCTCTCAGTTACGGGGAAATTGATGTCAGCTTGGCTCAGGGAAAGCAGCAGAGGAGCTGGCCCTCTAAACTCCTGTTAGGCCCCCAGGCTAAGTACTTTCCTGGGGCAGAGGTTTTCCCTTTGCTAAACTATCAAGGGGTAGCCATTCCGAGCTAAATATTAGAATAATCACTATCTCTGGTGGGGGAGGGTGGGAAGTATGTAGGTATTTTCTGATTAGGGTCTACAGTTATGGGGGAAGATTTAGGGGGAAGGTCAGTCGAGTGAGTAGGGTGTAGGTGAAGTGGGGACTGGTCAAGCAGGGGATGTACAGAGAACCTTTAAGCAAGTACATTGTAAACCTTGTTTACAACATTGCCGTATGACTGTCCCATGTAAGAGAAATACCCATCACCCTTTATCAATATCGTTGGAACCACTTTTTTTTCATGTGCAGCAAAATTTCCATGAGTGATTTTGATGACCACTATTCTATTACTCTAATGTTCACTGTTATTTTAGTTGTAAATATTTCTATTATCTTAACACCCACCAAATATTATTAATTGGTGGTGGTGGTACAGTACAGAAAAATACACCTGAAATTCAGTAACTTTGGAAGATGAGGCAGATGTAATTAAAAAGCCCCTAAGAAGGCAATTAAATGAGACACATGCAATGCTATTAATTTAGGAGCAAGCATTCTGCCAAATATTAAAGATGATGCTGAGAAAAATATAGGGCAGCATTAATGCAAAAATGAGCATAAGCGCAGTAGATTTAACAGCTCCATAACTCATCCTTTCTAATTTATGTTTACTCTTAGGAAGAAATGTTTCTAGAATATGCACATTTTGAAGACTGCTAAGTCTTCAGGTATGCATCTCTTAGATCAAATAAATCATGTAGGAAACTGTTCTAGGTAAATTCAAGTGAGGAAATCCTGGAGACCTTTGGAAATGCAATGTTGAAATACGAAAAAGGCCCAAGCTGGAGCTGTAAAGTTGGAAGTTATCCGTGTAAGGTCAACAGTTTCAATCATGAAAAAGGATGGACTTGCCAAGCAGAGAGTACACATTTAAGAGAAGGTCAAGGACATAATCTTCTGAAGCCACCAAATTCAGAGGACAGAAAGAGGAAGCAGATAGGGAGGACCCTTACCGAGAGCCTAGAACGTGTCAAGAAGGTTCCAAGCATATACTTCTAGCATCACATTTAACCCTCCCTACACCCCTGCCAGACTGTTGTATACACCTGGTTGTATAATGAGGGCCATAAGAAATGAAAGGTGAATCAGCTTAGCCCAGACAGTGCAGGTCTGTCAGATTAAGGCGTGAGTTAGCCTGACATAGAAAAATCAACTGCACAATTTCAAAACAGAGAGGAGAGAAACTGAGGTAACTCAGATGAAATGAACCGGTGCCCTCTGTCTCAGTAAATGACACCAGCATCTACCCAGTTTGCAAAGCCACAAATCCAGGAGTTACCTTTCACCTGTCTTGTCCTTTTCTTACCCCCTCATCAAATCCATCAGAAGGTCCTAGGACTTCTACCTGAAGTTATATCCTTATCTTTAAACCACATCTGCTGTCCACAACCTTAGACTAAGGTACACTTATCTCTCCCCTAGAAAGCTCCAGTCACTTCCTATCCTGTGGCTACTCTTTCCGAGATGCAACCCATTTTCCCTACAGCAACTAACAACGTAACATGAATGCTATTGGCATTTGGGGTATTAATTAATCATTGTTCATTGTTGGGACTTCATTGTTGGGGATGTCCTGTCCATTTCAGAATATTTAGCATCCCTGGCCTCTGTCCAGTAGCATCCCAAGTAAATGCTTCCCCTTACTTCCAAATGTCCTTGGGTGCGGGGTCGGGAAGGGGATAATACTGTTCCACCCCACCTCCCGCCATCCCCAGGTCGAGAACAACCGAGCCTGAGTGATTTCTTAAGGTAAATCAGATTATGCCACTGCTCTGCTTAAACCATTAGTGGCTTCCCACTGCATTGAGAAAAACGCCCTAACTCCTGAGGATCTCAAGGCTGTTCATGACCTGACCCCATTTGCTTCTTCAACCTCATTTTCTATAGCCATCCTCTTTCTCCTCTTAGCTGCTTCAATCCAGCTTCCTTTCTCATCCTTAGCCACATCAACCTGTTTCCTGCCTCTAGGCCTTTGTGCCTGCTATTCCCCTGGAATAGCTTCTCCCTTGGCTCTTCTTGACTAGCCCTTCTCTTTTTCTTCAGGACTAGGCACCAATGATAATGTAGGTGTGAGGCTGCAAGTGGCCATCCTGGCTAAGACTGAAGGCAAGCACTGATGACAGACAGAAAAAGGGAAGGAAGGAAGAAGGGAGGGAGGGAGGGAGGGAGGGAGAGAGGGAGACAGAGACAGAGGGAGAGAGAATGGAAATGATATCTTTTGACCCCCTGGATTCCGCTGTGCCCTAGGTAAGACTTATCCATTTGAATTCCCAGTACACAGGCAGTGGCATTGCCCTTTCTACTTAAGCTGCTTTGGGTTGGGTATGTACCACCTGCCATGGAAAACACTGACTACACCTGTGTGTAGCAAGGGTGGAAAGCGGACGAGTCTCTTCTAGTACTGGGTGAAAGGTGTGTTTTCAGGATTCCGTTGCAAGCTCCCTTAAAGAAGGTCTAGACTCTTTGGCAGAGTTGCCCAAACCATTTCCAGCTCTCCACTAAATATCTCCCATGCCCCCCACCCCATCATATCCTTTTTCTCTTTCTTCTTCTTCCATCTCTTCCCATCTTTTGCCCTAAGGACGCTCAAAACTCCTCTTTCCTGGAAAAGAAATCTTCCCTCTACCCAGTTATCCTGAGGCAGGAGAATAGATGGGCTCCAGGCTAGACATTTACAGCTACCCTCCTGTTCATATTTACTGAGGTAGGAGATAGATGGGCTACAGGCTAGATATTTTTGCAACCGGCCTGTTTATACCGCAAGATAGAAATGACAAGAGGAACTGGGTAAACAGCTGGACTTTGTCTCCTGTGGACACTTTAAGATAACAGTAATGGCAGAGGCAGAGAGGGGCTAAGCCCCGCTCAGGTGAAAAATCAAGAGATCACATATTTCTCATCCTTGGAGTCAGGGAGACCTCAACTGCACATGCACAGAAAGGCTCCTCAAGGGTCAAAAAGAGTGGCGGGGGACACCAGACTATAAGTTTCGCTAACTTCCCAGGGACCCTTGCACTGAAATCCACCTTGGCTAAAGGATGCACACGCACATAGGGAAGGACCCTGAGACTAATCAGCTATGGGGGCAAAACAAGATGACGGCCAGAGGGAAACAAAGCCCAGGAAGGCTGCCCCCTTACAAATGCTTTAAACTTCCCGAAGGCGTCACTCTCTCTGAGCTTGCCTGTGAGTCTCTCTGCATGTATTCTGCTTTTCTAATAAACGCCTTACTCTCCTTTCTACCCTCTGTCTCCTTGTCAAATTTTTTTTTCAAGGCAGACAAGAACTGGGGCCCAGACTATAGCCACAGCTTCTCGTGGTCTAGTGGTTAGGACTTGATGCTCTCACCGCCACAACCAGGTTTCCATCCCTGGTCAGGGAACGAAAGCCTCACTGCAAGCTGCCCCTCTCTGCTGTGTCTGTCCAAAATCAATCCTTTTAGATTACATCCTCTCTCTCCCACCCTTCACCATCAAACTGCTTAAAAGAGATTACACACTCCCCTCCATTTTCTCATCATCTCCACCAGTTAACCCTGCCACCAGGCTTTTATACTCACCCTTCTAGTGAAACTGCATCTGCCAATGGTCACCATCACCTCCTAGTTGGTCAACTAACCCATGGCCTTTTCTTGGTCCTCACTCTTATTGCTCTTTCTGGAGCATTTAGCCTAGCTGACCACGCCTTCCTCATGTCCCCTGGCTTCTGAGATACCTAAAGGTTTTCCTAACTTCCTGGCCATTCTTTCTGGTTACTGGGGCAAAACCTCTAGGCAAGAGTGATAAGGTGAGTGCCAATGCTTGATTCAATCTCCTTGGTTCAAGTGAAGCCACTCAACTGGTTATGAGTCCTACTCCTTTAAAATTTCACCTGAAAGGGCCCATCACTTATGTTGCTCAGAACAACCTAATGCTAGTAGATAAAAATTGAAATGGTCTAGGCACCATTCTATAATGGGAACTGTTTATTTCTTTATGCTCTCTGAACACTTGGATAGTATCTACAAATGTCCGCTGGATTTACCTGTCCAGGTATCCCTCCTCTATTCATACTATACACCAGAACTTTAACTTGAGGTCTTAAAATGGATTGGGTAGAAAGACCAATCCTGCATCATAAAATGAAGTATATATAGTACAACTAACAGTTATTTTAAGCATAAATAATGAACAGATATAATTAAAGTGAGGCTCCTGTGTTAATTGCTGATCCTTCCTTACCTGGGTATTGGGGGAAACCAATGGTTGGCCTGTCTGTACAAAGTTCAGGCACTTGACCCCAATTTAGCAATATTTTCTGACCGTTATGAAATGAAAAGAATTATTTTCTTATAAGGAAATGATCAGATCTTATGAGTTATGAGCAGATCCTAGTCTCACTTTTTCCTGTGTGTAGTAATATAGCAGATTTTTGTTCTCGTTTGTTCCTATTTTCACTTTGATTTTGATTAGGAACACTTGTGGTGTGGTTGCTGGAAAGACAGACCACACACACGTGAGCTTGGATGAAGCTGGAAATAATCATGACCACATTTCAGCTTAGAACCTTCTTTTTTAAGGAAGGTCCTTCAGGCATTTTTATTAACAAGCAGATATAAACTTGGCAAGAGCACCTTTCAAAAATCACAGTTCCAATTATTTTTGTGAGGTCAAGAGAAAGTAGAGAACACAATGGTGGTGGCTTAGCATCAAAACAATAACAATCAAGTTGCTGACCTTATGCCTTCCATCAAACATAACTATCACCCGCTCTGTTCCCCAACCTCCAAAGGATGACGAGAAGCTGGCATTCAAGACTTGACATTAATCTAGACCACATGTAGCACCTGCTTTGATAGCAGACACAGCTCCCACCCAAACCCATACTTGGACAAAATGGTGGCCACGTTCTCTGTGCCAAACCTTCTCATCTCTGACCGTCTTCTAGATCTTGAAGTGTCTGATTCTCCCCGGGCAAGGGCGGACCACTGGAACTGGACCTTCAGGAGCAGGAATGCTAGGCTGCGCCACCTTGGGTGTCTTCCCCACATGAAACGCTTCTCCTGAGGCTGACTCCACTGAGGCCACACCCGAGAAGGCGTGGCGCAGGTCGTAGTGTGTCGGGGGAGCTGCCACAGCCCTGGGTCCCACCACCAGGGAGGCTGCGGGCTGGCCAGCTGGAGAAAGTGCTGGCCTAGCCGAGCCCGGTGCAGTGGTGAGGGGCCCTGCTTCGGCGTCGTCTGGTTGGGGCTGCGGGAGCACAGGCTGGAGAGAGGATTGTTTCCTTAGGTTAGCTGCCTTTCTCTTCCTTCCAGGTGGAACCCCACCCAATTCTCTCACAGTACTAATTTTTATTTGCAAGGAATCTGGCAAAAAAGAACTACCTAGGTACAAGGGATGGCCATCAGGGCTCCAGGGGAGGGGTAACTGGCCTGCGGTAGCCCCTTTCTCACCAGTTGTGTTGGGGATGGTAGACTTACACTGTTCCACGAGCAAAAGAACCCCAGCTTATGGCTAACCTTCACCAGTAGCGTCACCCTCTTTTTCATCTACACCTGCAGCCACAGGGAGCTGTGAGACAGATCTGGCCACCTGGACTCTGCAACTCAGAAAAACACCCCCCCCCCCCCCCCCCCCCCCCCCGCCTCTCCCCGCCCCCACTCCCAAGCTAGCAAATAAAACACGTGGCCTCGCCAATTGCACACTAGGGAGGTTCTGCCCTGTAACCACCAGTTCGTGGGAGGGGAGGGCATGGCTGAAACAACCTTTTGTTTTTTGATGATTTCACATTCCCTGGCACTATCTATATGGCGGGGCTCAAAAGGACAGGCAGCAAATGCCCTGAAATTACTAATGCACCGCAGAAAGGTGAAGGGGTCATTGTATTCTGAAGATAAGGGCAAGTGCATCCATGACGCCCTTACCTGTGTTTGGAACACCGTGCAGGTCACTGCAACATCTTCCCCACCAGCAACCTTCTCAGTGACTGTCCCCTTACAGAAGCCATATTGCTGCCCACAGAAAGAGAGGAGTTATTTGAACCAGTTCAGAAAGTGGACTTCTCTCCCAGTTTCACTTATACTCCAACACATCAAGGGAAAAAACCTTAAATTCCTAATTCCTTTTTTTAAAAAAATCTTTTTCCTAAAGTGTATGATTTCTGCTTATATTTTATATAGAATGTAGAAAATACAGAAAAGTTTTGGGAATGAGAGAGATCACCCATAATCTCAGAAATGGTGGTGACCCAGGAGAACTTCTGTTCACATCTATGTATTTCTTTCTTATTTTTAACTACTATTAAATATCATTTAAAAATTGGCATCACTAACTACACCATTTTGTATACTGTGTTTTTCACGTGCTATAATGATAGCATTCTCTTATATCATTCCTTATTCTTTGAAAGTGTTAATTTTCGTGTCTGTATAATTTTCTATTTACTAATGTGCCATATTTTATTCAATGATTCCCTCCTTTTGGACATTCAGATCTTCTGGGCTCATTTTGTACCTGTCATAAATCATCTTTATAGATATATTCTGTCAAACACGATGATCTCTTTAGGCTAAATTCCTAGAAGTGGACATTACTGGCTTAAGGACTTGAAAGATTTCATATCAGAGGTCTATCTAGAAAATCTACACTTTATACTCCCAATGGCCTGACATGACTCATCTTAGTTAGGAAACAGCCTCTCTAACTCCAGGGGCCTCCACTGGGTGAGAAGATCCGGTGATAGCTCTTAAGCAGGGGAGATGACACCCCAGAGGATGACCTGGCAAGACCCAGCCTCACAGGCAGTGGGTATTTTGCATTTCTCCTTTCTGCAGCCGCAAGATACGAATTTGCTCTAAGGATGCTCTGTTCCATGACTTGGCTTTACCAACCCAATGCCTAGCCCGCTCACCTTTTCTGCCAGCAGGTTGCACTTGGCTGGGTCTACGACCTCTTTAGCAACACAGTCAGTGGCAGCCACTGCAAACTCCACAGAGACAGAAGCTGAAAGAGGCTGATGAGGAGAAAAGGAAAATTTTCATGAAGCAACATGACTTAGCATGAAAAAGACTGGTAAGGAGAGGCCAGAGGGAAGTAGCGAGGGCCATGGAATTGCACAGTCCAGGGAGCACGTTTCACGGAGACCACACTGTGTGGCCAGGAAACATGCCCCCGGTGGCTTACATACGGCTTACAGTGAGACACCGGGTTTTTGAAGGGTTTGCATACAGGAGCTGGGGTTGGGTCTTCCCTGAAGGAGGTGCAGGTATCCACTGCTCATCATTCAGAGCAGAGGTGAGTTTTCAGGTAGAAAGCAGGAACCCAGAGGGCTGACCTTACACTGACCTGAGTGGGAACCCTGCCTCCTGCCAACTTCCCTATTGGGGTTGCACTTTGAGACCCAAGGCTCAGGTTACTCCAAGATGGGGTGGGAAAGTAAAGAAATTAATTCCTCCCCCACGTATTTTAGACAGCAGGATCAAATGAAAAATATAAATGAAAGTACAGAAGATACTTATGCTTTTCTATCTTATAGTTCTTGGAGCATATGGACACTTACAATAATAAAATATCTGTTATTTGTTATAGTCTGGGGCGGGGGTGTTCTATGAATCGCATATTCTGGTTAATAGAATTACTATCTATAGTGTATTTCCAAGTATGCCATGGCTGGTATCCAGAATACTAGTTTTTAAAAATATTAGAATTCCACTGCATTCAAATGTGCTAACCCAGCCACGGTACAATTAGGGTTTTTTTTCTCAGTGATTCAGAGGCATTTTAGGATCCTTGCCCTTATATGTAAGTATGCCCATGCCTTTGTAAGTATCAATTACAAGAGTGCTGTAGATGTGCCGTGGTGATGGGTGATGGCGATGTGGAGACCCATGAATTTACAGTGGGTGCTTCTGGATAAAGTGGGAACTTCCATCCTGGTGTTAACTGGAACCGAGGAACTGGGGACACACAGCATCTGGCTGTTTTGTGTTGAAGTGGCTTAGGTGGGGGATGCACTGAGGGTCCTCGGGGTCCTTAGGACACTCAGGACCCTTTCTTTCCCTCTTCTCCCACCACCCTCGTTGACTTCCCGTGGCTACCCCTGCTTCACCACGTCCACTCCCAAAGTGCCACCAAACTGCCCAAACCGTCAGCAGGGTCTCAGTCTTACCACCAATTGAGCCCGAGAAATTTCCACAAGCTGAAAGTAGGAGCCGTTTTTCTGGGCGTTGAAGGCAGCCAGCGCGGCCTCTACTGCGTGCACCACCCGGCTGTCGTTGAGCGGGGCCAGCAGGGGGCAGTCTGGACACATCTTGTGCACGTCCTCGGCCGAGTCTGCGCACAGAGCGAAGAAATCAACTTGGCTCGGGGCTGTAATTCTCTGCGGCATTTGCCCCCGCTCTGCTTATTTGAAAGGGCTAAAACATGCTCCAAATGGCTGCAGGAGGATCATCTGCTTCTTACTAAACCTTCGGGAGGCTCCTGCCATGCTGGCATTGTTGCAGAAGCCCCTCTCACCAAGGGGCGATTTTCACCTCCAATGAGAACAGCTCCTTAAAACACAGTTTTAAAGTCCCCAAACCCCGGAAACTTGGCTTCTTTTCATCACCAACAAAGTGGCTAGAACTACTTCTGTTGAAAACAATTCAGGTTCCCTCCTCACTGTCTCTACCAGGTAACTATAATAAGAATAATAATCATCTCTACCTGGACTGGAATCACATTTTGCAGACAACACGGAAAACTCTCCGTCTTGTTTCAGCACATTGAAATCGCAGTCTCCTTCCACCGCCTGGAGAAATAAACCCACAGTGAGGGACCAGGAGGAGGGCTGACCTCTCACTTCTCACGGTGGGGGGATGGTGGCAGGGGGGACGTGGATGTCAAAGGTGAGCCTCACAAAATCTCCTTCACTGGGTGATGTTGAAACATGACACTGGTTTCGCAGGGGGTGGGAGTACGATAAAAAGGTGAATTGTAAAAATCAGCCCCAGGGAAGGCGCCATCAATTGGCAATTTTAGCTGCCCCCGCAGCAGTCGCCCTAAGAGGGGCACTCACGTGCTCTTTCAGCTGCCTCACGCTGCAGTTTGCCAGGGGGGTGGGGTCCAGTACATGGCAGGTGGTTTCCAGTGTGTCTATTTCAAGGTCAAACACCTCTCCCGTGGGCCGCTGTGGAGACAGAGAATGAAGAGGTGAGCAGCCTAATCCTGTTGAGCGGGTCCAAGGGTGAGCCCCTACTGGGTTTGAACCCACTCCCTGTTGGAGAGGTAAGAAAGAAGGGGGCGTGGCCTTGGACTGGTTGATGGAAGCACAGCCATCACGCTGAGCTGTATCTGGAAGCTGAAAGTGAATGTTGATACTTATTTAATTTAAAAATTTTCACCCTTCAAGCAGTACTTTTAAAAAAGTCAGCTTTGGATTTTTCTCAGTCAAGCAGCGAAGTAAGTTGGTATAGGATAATAACTTACTGTCTCTCTTTTATCTTCTTCATCCCTCCCTCTACTTCTTCCTTCCTTCCTTCTCAACATCTACTTTCCTTCCTTCCCCATTTTCTTTTCCTTCCTAAAGGAAAAGTTATTGTCTGTGGCCTTTTATCTTTTGGCTTGTAGATGCCTGGATGAAAAGTTGCTATTCCCTACTGCCCCCTGCTGGTAATGAGAGGGAAGCGTGAGCCTCCCTCTGATGGAGGAAGCAATGCGTCAGTCAGTCACTAGCACAGAGGGAAGGAGCAGCGGGTAAGGAGGTGATAGGGGAGCTTGTATGACTCCTTGGAGTTGTTCCTGCCAGTTCACCTGTTTCTGTATCCTTTCTTCAAAGCCCGGAAAAATCCAGAAGGTACGAGTATGGCTATTTTTTCTTTCAGCCCAGCTCTGCTTGTCTCTCATGTCTGTTCTGCGTGATTCACTAGTACCTGAAGCCTCAAAATCTCCTTTCCTGGAGGAAGCTGTGTTTTATGATGTGCAGATATGCCCAAATTAACTTCCTGAAAACACTCAGAGCTAGCGAATAGGAACCTGGGGCTCCTGGGTCTCTCCAACCCTGCTGTTAGTGAAAACTGCAGTGTTGTTCCTTCTTTCCCTCAAATATGCACATTGTGTGTCATTTCCCCTGAATTGATCAGTGCTTCCTCTGAATCACCACTGTACTTCACTATGGTTGCAGAACTCCTAAAATCCATCTGGGACAATCCCAATTTCAAATATTTTGTCCCATTGTGAGATCAGATGTTCATGAGTCAGTCCAGACATCCTGAGGTTTGCCTTATTTTCCTTCCTAGACTGTGAATCTCTTGTGGACACTATGTCTTTCTCACCTTTGTATTAGCTTGCATCATTAAAATGCCAATATTTGACCGCTTTTATTATACAAAACTGGTTATTTCATATGAGTCAACTTAGTATCTCCCATAGCGCCTGACACTGGTTCTTGCCCATGGAAGGCTTGTAATCAGTGTTGACTGAAAGAATTATCCTTCATCAGCTATAGAATCTAATTTCAAAATAGGCAATAGATGGATGTCTTTTCCCCACCTCTCCAAATCACTCGGCTGACCCCCAAGGCACACGTTTCCCAGCTTGATCATCATTGTCACCAGCTTCAGGCTGCATTGGTTTCTTGTCTAGCATGTGAGCGGGTGAATCCTTTCATGCCAAGATTTCTCATTGGGATGTGGGTACCTTTCTTGGGGAGGCAGCTTGTGTAGAGGAAGGAACACAGTTCTGGAACTGAATCCTAGCCTGTTGCTTACTATTTTATGACCTTGGGTAAAAAAATGCCCTAATATGTCAGAGCCTTGGTTTCCTCATGTAAGACAAGGACAATACCCCATAGGACTGGGGGTGGGGTGAGAGAGGGGTTAAGGAGATGATATATGTGAAAGGGCCTGGCACATAGTAGGCACTTATCAAATGCACATTTCATTCACTCTCAGTCTTTACCTAGAGAAACAGAACCAAAGGAAAAGAAGTGATTTCCAGTCAGTGGTAGTTGGGAAACTAGAATCCAGTCTCTGGTCCTAGTTTTTCTAGAAAACCACACTTTTTACCTGTGATCCTCAAAATATCATTCAAAGCCTTTCCCTCTCCTCCTGCCCCCAACCAGCACCCTCCTGGAGACCACTGACCACAATACAGAATGTCTCCTCTCTTCCCTCCGTCTCTCCCTCCCTCCTGCGAGGAATCAGGATGTTTCCATTCTGCGATTTCATTTGTGCTGGGAGGTGGGCTCTTAGAGACATCCAGCTGAGCCCGACCCCCTCCTACACAGCAGGTTCACTTACCCGCGGCCACACCTTCACACTGTCAATCTGGTTTAAGATGTGCTTGAAGCCATGAGGAAGGTGCTTATTGATGTAGTCCACGGCTGCCAGGGCTGCTTGCTCTGTTTCTGGGTCATCACAGGCTGGTTCCCTATTACCCAGAATTGGGCCATGCGGGACAGAGTGGCAGCCACAGAGCTGAGCAAGGCAAAGGAGCAGGACGAGGCACTTCATGGTTGCTCCGGAGAGGTCCTGGCAGGTCGGCAGGCAGGTAGCTGGAGGCTTCAGGCCCAACCCAGGTGCTCTGCTGGAAAAGGCAGACTGGTGGAGGGTCCAAAGGCCCTTTATTTGCTGGAGCCTGTGGAAGAATTGCGTAAGGATGTGGGATGATTTCTGTTCTGGTTCCAAAAAAATCCCCCTGCAAACATCAGTCCTGGAAAAGCAAACAGGTTAGGACATCACTGGTCCCCCTTTAGCAGAAATCTGCCAGAGTCAATGCTTGCTTGGGGGTGGGTGGGGGCAGATTGGGGGGTGGGCTGGGGAGATGCTCCAGAGTCAGCTTGGAACATGGTAACAGCAGCAAAGAAACGAGGCAGCTGAGAGGATGAGGTGAGCACCAAGGAGAGGAGGGGCTGGCACAGCTGGCCCTGGAGTGCTGTGGATTTGGCAGCAGAGGGAGTGCCCTCTACTGTAAGCTGAGCACGCCGTGGGGTCCATGTGGGGAGAAGTAAGGATGTTCAGCAATTTTTTTTTTTTTAATTGGAGCATAGTTGCTTTACAATATTGTGTCAGTTTATACTGTACAGCAAAGTGAATCAGCTATACATATACATATATCTCCTCTTTTTAGGATTTCCTTCCCATTTAGGTCACCACAGAGCACTGAGTAGAGTTCCCTATGCTATACAGTAGGCTCTCATTAGTTATCTATTTTATACATAGTATCAATAGTGTATATATGTCAATCCCAATCTCCCAATTCATCCCACCACCACCCCCTTTCCCCCTTGGTATCCATATGTTTGTTCTCTACGTCTATGTCTCTATTTCTGCTTTGTAAATAAGATCGTCTATACCAATTTTTTCAGATTCCACATATATGCGTTAATATATGATATTTGTTTTTCTCTTCCTGACTTACTTCACTCTGTATGACAGTCTCTAGGTCCATCCACGTCTCTACAAAGGACCCAATTTTGTTCCTTTTTATGGCTGAGTAATATTCCATTGTATATATGTGCCACGTCTTCTTTATCCATTCATCTGTTGATGGGCATTTAGGTTGCTTCCATGTCCTGGCTACTGTAAATAGAGCTGCAATGAACATTGGGGTGCATGTGTCTTTTTGAATTATGGTTTTCTCAGGGTATATGCCCAGTAGTGGGATTGCTGGGTCATATGGTAATTCTATTTTTAGTTTTTTAAGGAATCTCCATACTGTTCTCCATAGTGGCTGTATCAACTTACATTCCCATCAACAGTGCAAGAGGGTTCCCTTTTCTCCACACCCTCTCCAACATTTGTTGTTTGTAGATTTTTTTTTAATTTTTTAATTTTATTTTATATATTTCTTATACAGCAGGTTCTTTTTAGTCATCAATTTTATACACATCAGTGTATACATGTCGATCCCAATAGCCCAATTCGTCACACCACCACCACCACCCCTGCCGCTTTCCCACCGTGGTGTCCATACGTTTGTTCTCTACATCTGTGTCTCAATTTCTGCCCTGCAAACCGTTTCATCTGTACCATTTTTCTAGGTTCCACGTATATGCGTTAATATATGATATTTGTTTTTCTCTTTCTGACTTACTTCACTCTGTATGACAGTCCCTAGATCTATCCATGTCTCAACAAATGACCCAATTTCGTTCCTTTTTATGGCTGAGTAATATTCCATTGTGTATATGTACCATGTCTTCTTTATCCATTTGTCTGTCGATGGGCATTTAGGTTGCTTCCATGACCTGGCTATTGTAAATGGTGCTGCAATGAACATTGGGGTGCATGTGTCTTTCTGAATTATGGTTTTCTCTGGGTATATGCCCAGTAGTGGGATTGCTGGGTCATATGGTAATTCTATTTTTAGTTTTTTAAGGAACCGCCATACTGTTCTCCATAGTGGCTGTATCAATTTACATTCCCACCAACAGTGCAAGAGGGTTCCCTTTTCTCCACACCCTCTCCAGCATTTGTTGTTTGTAGATTTTTTGATGATGGCCATTCTGACCCATGTGAGGTGATACCTCATTGTAGTTTTGATTTGTATTTTTCTACTAATTAGTGATGTGGAGCATCCTTTCATGTGTTTGTTGGCCATCTGTATGTCTTCTTTGGAGAAATGTCTATTTAGGTCTTCTGCCCGTTTTTTGATGTGTTTGTTGGCCATCTGTATGTCTTCTTTGGAGAAATGTCTATTTAGGTCTTCTGCCCGTTTTTTGATTGGGTTGTTTGCTTTTTTGATATTGACCTCCATGAGCTGTTTGTATATTTTGGAGATTAATCCTTTGTCAGTTGCTGCATTTGCAAATATTTTCTCCCATTCTGAAGGTTATCTTTTCTTCTTGTTTATGGTTTCCTTTGCTGTGCAAAAGCTTTTAAGTTTAGTAAGATCTTTGAATGCCAGGGACAATTATCTCCTCCTGGAGGGAGAACAAGGCCCACGGATGTAGCAAAGGTACCAATGATTTACCATTGGTAAGAGGAGGGAGAGCTACGGGAGATGCCAAGTCTTGGGTAAGGTCCTTGGAGAAAAGAAGAAAGGAAGGGAGAGACTTTTGCCTGGAGTGGGTAATGGGGAGAGAGACCTTCCTGCCTTCGTGTGGCAGGGCCGGGAGAGCTCTATGGCTAGCAGAGCTTCTCCCCTCCCTGTCCCCTTCTCTCCAGACCTCACTGCCAACACCTTGCACAGATGCACCCTGACCTGGGTCTCTTGGGTGGCTGAGTGTGGCTGGCACCAGTGGCCGTGTGTCCCCAGTGACCCCGTGTGCCTGTGGCCTGTGCCCCCAGCCCCAGGGTGCAGCAGAGGAGAGCCCGGGTCTGACAGACAGTCACTTGGCAAAGCTCTGGGTCTGAGTCCTGCACTGCAGGCTGAGACCCTGGCGGGGGGCTTTCAGAACATAAATGCCTCCTTAAGGCCCTTCAGAGCCTTCGCAGAATTAGAGTGAGTCTTGGTAGCCAGAGCACAAGGTCACAGTATTGACTCAGGCACTGCCTTTCAGTTGTGGCCTTGACAATCCCAGGTGTGACCTCCAAGGAGGGGTGGCCAGGATGGCGAGAGGCTTGGAATATATCATCCGAGGACCTAGCTTGGTTCAGCCTGGAGCAGAGAAGCCCTTAACATGGAGACCAACATGCTCTCCAAATATTTAGAGGTCATCATTGTGCGGGGGTGGATTTGTTCTGTAGTTTACTATTGCTTCAGAGAACAAAACTTGGTTTAAAAGTGGCGGGGGGGAGCTTTCTACAGGGAAGCTTAATAATATTGACTTCCTGTGGGGAGGGAGGTAAGCACGGGGGCCTGTGTTGGGCAGAGGAGATAGTATAAGCACTGTTTTCCCGTTTGCTCCCAGCTGCTCACACACAGACCCTTAATGCCAGAGGCTCAGAAGGTGTGATCAGGACTCCCAGCTCTCTGGTTATCCAGCAGGATGAGCCTCAGAGCTGGGGGCCTTTCCATCGGCCTTGTGCCCCAGTTCCTTCAGGACCTTGACTTATGAGCTCATGAGCAAATTTTTGTGGATGCTCTGCTTTTCTTTTAAATAATCTTTTAAAATACAAAATATGGTCATTACTGAAAATTTGAAAATCACAAAAAATATATGCAGTGAGTACATATTTCATATGTCATAAGCTCAGGTGTCTACACTATAATTTATTTTCCATAACACAATTGGATTTCTGACTCTGAGCTCTCTTTCGTGAAAATGTAATCTAGTCACTTCCCGGTAACCTGACTTCCCCCACGTGCTTGGGTTGAAACCTGGTCCAATTTAGGTTTGCCCTTGTGCTTCTTCTCCCCGCTGGGGTTAGGAGAAAGTGTGGAGGGGGAGACTTCTGCAAGTACTGCTTTGGTGAAGGTCAGAGAGGGGTGTCCACCTTTGTCTTGGCATCTTCTGCCAGGTAACCTGTCTCATATGGTCCTCAGGCAAATCTACTCTCTAGCTAATGTCCTGCTTTCCTCCATCTGATCCATAGCAAGACAGTCCCCCTGCATCCTGTGATCAGGGGTCACCTTATCGAAGCTGTGGGACACTTTCTAGACCACAGGCCCTTTCTCAGCTAAGAGCTACCCCCATCTTTTTTTTTTTTTTTGCAGTACACGGGCCTCTCACTGTTGTGGCCTCTCCCGTTGCGGAGCACAGGCTCCAGGCATGCAGGCTCAGCGGTCATGGCCCACGGACCCAGCCGCTCCGCGGCACGTTGGATCCTCCCGGACCAGGGCACGAACCCGCGTCCCCTGCATCGGCAGGCGGACTCTCAACCACTGCGCCACCAGGGAAGCCCCTACCCCCATCTTTAAGCTTGGGAAAATTTGGCTGCTGTGCCCTCCCAGGCTGTGGAGGCTTTCTGAGGCTGCCTTCAAGCTCATCTGTTTAGATACTGCTCTCATAGCCCCTCCACTGCTCTAGGGCCACCCTGCTACTCAGGGGGCTTCTCCCTGCCATGTGACCTCTCCCTGTGCTACCCATGTACCCCCTCCTCTCCTTCTACCCTTGCAGTGAGGTTCCGGTCTCCTCTGCTGTAGGAGTCCCACATGTTATGGGGCTGGTTGTATTGCCATCCCAACATGAAGGTGGGGGGAGGATAAAAAAGTTCTGTCTGATCATCCTTTCTGATCATTTCTGTCTTATACTCAGAGCATTTCTTTTGGTATCATTGTTCTTGGATCTTTCGTGGTCCACAATTTTTAAAGCACTAGGTATTGTCCTGTTTTGCTGATGCTAGAAAAACAAAGCATGTAGTAAAGAGCAATTAAGATCTCACCTGTCATCCTCCTACCACGTATAAACAGGGAAACAAAACTCATCCACAATCTCATCACCCAGAGTTAAACAGTGTTCATGTTTTGGTGCAGTTCCATCTTTTCTTCTACACAAAGACTTACTTTAATATAATTCAGTATAATATAATCATACTCATGTACAACTTTGTATTCTTTTTTCACTTAACATTATAACTTGAACGTTTTCCCATGTTATTAAATAGACTTAAAAACATGCTTATAATGACTACCTAGGATTCCGTTGTGCATATTACCATTTATTTTACTATTCTCTTATTGTTGGGCATTTAGTTTGTTCTCAGTTGAGCACTCTCATATACAAAGTTGTAATAAACTTTTAAATTCAGGAATCTTTGGCTTTCTCGTTATTTTT